ACACCTGAATTTTACCTGAAACTCTCAGACTGAAGAAGTCTCTTGGAGAGACGAAACGTTTCATTAGAGAAGAACCCATCCAGAAGACCTATACAATTTTTTTTCTTTTTTATTTAGTCCAAATAAGTTGCCAAAGTGAAGACTGAGGGCCATAATTGGCCAGCCAAGCCGTTTGATTTGGCCTGGTAGCAGTTGCCTAATTTGTAATCCCCTATCATCCCAGGAAGAAGCACTGTATTTCCACTTACAGTTGTTTTTGTTTTGTTCCAATGACTATATAAGGGTCTGTAGTGCAGATAGTCTTCACTGAAGGGGCTTACTTATCTTTGTATTATGTTAAGATAAAACATGAAATACAAGTAACTACAAGAGTCAATTAGATTAGATTTAAGGACATGTAGATTTGCACACTTTATAAGTACACAAATACTCATATTTTATCAATTTATGAAATGTCCCATGGGCCATTGCTGTCTGAGCCTATGCCAAGCTTTCTCTAAATGTACGGGCTTAAAAACAAACAACGGCAATTAATTAATCATAAAAAATAAAAGGACTTTACTTAAAAAGTATTTGCATTTCAAGTATAATAATATTGTATTTGGCCCAAGCCTGTCAGATTGGCCCTATCAAGGAAAATACATTTAAAAAAAGGGTTCTCATTAATTTATTTGATGTGAGGGGGTTTGAACAGGCACCCACTGGATGTACTGTCATGGTTTATGCAGCAGACTTCCTACTGTCATAGACTGGATTTTCTCATCTGGATCCAGCTAAGTTCCTTCTTAATTTAATTTTAAAAAACAGTTTTTTCCAAGCATGTTTTCTACCTCCCAGTTAGTTGTGACGTCATCTTTAGTGCCACCTAAATATCTATAAACTTAAAATGCTAAACACACCACATTATTAAAGATCAAATTCTAAACATCTGCCCCAAAACTCTGCTCTTGCCCTATACAACAAAGCTAATTCCTTAATCTGCTTTAGATCTTTATATTTTCTTCATGTTTGTGCCAGCGTGGCACCACTTCCTCAACTCTTGTATTGGATGCTTACATAAGACTGCCTGTTCCTCCTCCTCCTCTTCCGTCTCCATGGCCCAACACCCAGCAAGAATGGTCCTCAYGTGTGGAACTCAGAAACAATGTGGGCACACAAAAGTGTGAGCCACGAGCTCAACTCTGAATCTTATATTCAGTGCCACTTGAAAAATGAGTCTTTTTTGTGTGTTTGCCCATTCTGCTTGTTGCCAGTTTTATTGTTGCCACTTATTTTTCCTCCAGTTGTTTATCTTTTTATAACAACTCAACATCTGATGGATAAAAAGGGTTGGATTGGGAAAAAATATGCATACCACAGCATCTGTTGTTTAACAAGTAAATTGGGGAGAGGATTGTGAAGCTTTTATTATTCAGTTCAAGTAAACTCATGCTGCTTTACAATTTTATCGTACGTTTGTGCGTTTTTAGCCCTCTGCATATTTTGAGTGAGGAAAGCAGTTATTTCTTTCTTTGTTTTTTTCCTATAAACTACTTTTTATAACACTGCTTGAACCATCTTTTGTACACATAAACTTTCTCCCTGGTTTATTTATTTATTTCTGATTCTCTGCGCAGCAGATGTTGAGAATTAAAGTCATGCCAGCACAGATGTTTGACGGATATTCACCTTTTAGTCTGCCCCTTGTTCTCACACTCACACTTTCACACACCAGCAGCAGCAACAGTCTACTCTCTCCTCAGCACCACACCCTCCTCCTCTTCCTCCTTCTCCACTGACCTACTTCCCAACACTGGGAATGAGAAAATGAGGTAGTGTTCTGAATAAAAAGTGGCAGCAGCTTCTCCCTTTTTATCCGCGTCTTCCTCGTCTCACTGTCTTCATACTTGGCTGCTCCTCAGACCCACAGAGCAGTGGCAGTCTTCTCTTTTTGCTTCAGGGCTTTTGGCGTGTTTTGTTTTTGAACACTGCGTGTGTATGCGCTTACACTGGAGTTTTCAAGTGGGTGTGTCTGCATTTGAACACACATGTGCAGAGCTTGCACAACTCGGTAGCATTTTTAGTTGAGTTTGTCTTTTTATTGCCAAAAGCATAGGCAGAAGTTGTCAGTATTCACACTTTATACTGTATAGTCTTTACACCTCCTTCTAGTTCAGTATGCATTCAATGTGTGCATTTATATGTATTTAACCCAGATGTATGTGTTGAGCATTTAACATTTAACTATTCTTTATTAAATAAAAAAAATTCTTGCAAAAGATTATACTTCAACAGTTTGTCAGACTCCTTTAGGTTACTATTCAAAATGGAAGCAATGCTTTAAAGAGGGTTTTATGCTGTCTATTTGGACATTATTACCCTCCTTTRTGACAAGACTACAGTGCACTTTTTCTGCCTGCATAAAAAAAATAATTTGATGGGACAATTTGATTTTTATTCCAAACGTCTTGAACAGGCTGTTAAAGTAAACAAACCATTTTTTTTTCATACTCCGGCTTTAAATCTTTCCACCCCGAATAACAAAAACATGCATTTATGTTAAACCACTTCCAGAATGAAGTAAAACAACCCTGAGAGGAGAATTCAGCCGGGAATGGAAGTGGGATTAAAGATGGATTTAGATTGTAAGCAGTGGCAAGGAAATATGACAGATGTTACTGTCAAAAGGGGGAGGGGGTAGGGAAAGGGGGTGTGTTGCTGAGAAATGTCACTTTGACTTACCCTGAGAGAAAAGAATAATGGAAGATGACAGAGAGGTAGGGTGAGAGTGCGGAAATGAAAAGYCCAATGATGTTCAGTCAGGATTGATGTTCTGTACAGATAAAGGTTACACAAATAAACTGGTCTTAAATTTCYGACTATATATAAGCAAAACTGTATTACTGTGTATGTGATGTATGCGTTGGATTCACTGGCCTATTTTCCCTGAGCAAAGGCTGGAAGGAGGCCAGCAGGCGATGTGTTGAGTGAGGACTGCCTGCACGTGGACCTCGGTGTGAGACTGAAGCTGGAAATGGAGACCACGGATAGGGAGGTTTAGATTGTGCGTTACGCTGACAGGCTTTCAAACCCCTGCAGAGTGGCCTCTTTTCCGTTAGGCTGGACCAGCTGTCCACACTACTATAAAGATTTGGCTCGCAGTTAAGTCRGTGTTAACAGTCCAGAATCTCCATRACCGTCTTSCTGAAGTGTAGTTTTTGTTTTGGCTTCTAGTTAAAATTGATCTCTGTGTGTGTCATACACCAGCTAATTTTAGTCGTGCACTGCTTAGCTATTTCTGCTTGAAGTTAATGTGGTGTTTGTAGCTTTCCCTCTGTACTACATGCACACGGATCGTCTTTTGAATTAGTAGCACAATGTTTAAGTTGGATATAGGTGACACTGTGGTGCAGTTGGTAGAGCTGTCATTGGTTTTATGCAGGTATTTTCCACCCACAGACTACAAACATGTTAAATGGTAACTCTGAATTGTTCCTAGCTGCGAGTGTGAATGGTTGTTTGTCTCGATCATTGTTTCTAAGTGGATAGACTCGCAACTTGTTCAGGGTGGACCCCTCCTATCACAGTGKTTGCTGGACATGGGCACCAGTGACCACCACAATCCAGACAGGAATTAGCGTGTAAAGCTAATGGATGTTTCTTTTAGATTTAGGTGWAGGAAAGTGCCAGAATCAAGGTGGGTATTTATTCTTTGCTAGCATCAGCTCAGATAAAATGACACAGGAGAAACATTGTAATATTTATTAAATAATCCCCACATAGAAAAGTGAATGTTGAGAATATTTTTAATCAAGGAAATAATCTTGTGATTAAATGTTAAACGGTTTTATTATAGCTCTGCTTTTTGTACCTTGAGAGCGGTGGCTGATTCAAGGAGTCAGAAGAAGCACAAGGGCAAAATGGAAATGTGATGTTTTCTTTTTTTCCCCCTCTTCATGCTTCTGTTGCGGGCCCAGTGCGTTCATAAAGAATTTACCATGCTGCTAATTTTAGATGGCACAGTGCAAACTCCTACGTGAAACCAGTGTCTGAGTGAGGGATGGTGGAGAGTCGTGCTGTGGCTTCTTACGAAAACTAGAGTTTCTCTCCTTCATAAAATGGATGATTATAAGCTAACAACTTTTAAAAAAAATCTGGTTGTTTTGTGTTTTGAAATTGCGCTGGGTATTTTTTTTAAAAAAAAACTGCTTCAAATTGATTTAATGGTCAAGTAATTCTGCTGGGTTTGCTTTTTGCAGGGTATTTGCATAGCATGTGTGAGGTCCATTCATTCACAAATGTGGAAAAGTGAAGCAAAGAAATCTGAGGCAACTGTAAGAGCTGTTGTGTCTACACACACAGTTTCCTTCTCACCAGACAGAATATAGTGCAGAGATGGAYCTCTTTGCCTTTGTGAAGCRTTGATGAAATTCTCTGAGACACTTWTCTGCTGTGGTTTTAGTGTCTCACTTTCCCTTAACACTTCTCATCAATCAGTACCTCACAGACAATGTGCTCTTTTTTTTGGTGACCCAATGGCAGCTAMTGTCAAAAAGAGGATCTTATTGACTCTTGCCACTAAAGTGTTTTCCTGACACAAAGCAAAACTATCAGCTGAAAACACAAAAGCCATTAAACAACCTGTATGAAAAATGCAACATGATAGCCTTGAGGACAGTTTCATTATATTTCTATTTCTTGCTCTTATATTTCTTTYTGATACAATTTCTGCAGGTGTCTTTACATCTTTGTTAGCCTGTGGTGTCTGTCGCTGATGTATTTGCTTCACTGTCGAAAATATAAATTGCTTCTCCGCAAATAGAAAAAAGCTTTTCCAAGGACATGATGTCCAGACACAGACCAGCATGAATCTTCATAAACTGTTTGAAGCTGCATTTGATTTGTACTAGGATGTTTTATTCAATGCAACATCCTCTTCTAAATGCATGTAACACAACACGGGACATCTGGGATGGTCTGCATTTCTAATCCTCTCCCTTGTTTTTTTCTTTCTTTTTTAGATCATGCCCCCTAGATAGCAGCCTTGTCCTCCTCTCCACTCCCCTTCCCTTGTCCCTGCGGGGCCCCTGTCCTCTGCCTTCCTGGTCGAGTGCCACCAGTGCCAGCTTTGCCGCCACAGCCACCATGCCACCCAGGAAACGGACGCGGCAGGGCCTGGGCTTCCTGTGCTGCTTCGGCAGCAGCGAGCCGCCTGAGATCAACCTGAAAGACACGGTGCCGCTGCAGCTGCTGGAGTTCAGCTCGCCGATGCCACCTGCAGAGGAGCTGCATGCACGTTTCTCTGAACTGGTGGTGAGTAAAGATTTATTGGTATTTAGACATATTTGAAGTGTTTTCATTTTCTATATATATATATATATTTGGCAACTTGTCAGTGGGCAATGAGAAACATACAGAAAAAATGTCTGCCTTTTGCCATTTACTCAGTGGTTAACGACTCATTTCTTTATGTTTTGGGTGCTGCACTGGAGTATTTTCTTCTAAATAAAACTGAAACTAAAAGATAGTTAAACATAAAGCAATATTTTTAATTGAAATCTAGTGATTTACAGATCAATAATGGAATATCGATACTATCAATACTAGAATATTATACTCTAGAATCAATATAAAAATCTAAATATTGATACTTCGATAAGTCAGTCATTTCATGTAATGTATATCATTAACAGGAAAACAGTGTAAAGTAAATAATCTATTGAAATCTTGCCTAAATCATAGGCGGTTGGTGGGAACTACTTTTACTTCCACCTGGGTAATGTGTAAGTGCAGTGGCACTCAATCTGTAGATGTTACATCTTCAGTATTTTCATATCAATATATTCATGTAGCATAAAATAAGACGGACATTTTCATTTTTACAGTAGTTCTTGATAATGAAGGTATATTTATTTTAATGGTTTTATTTTACTTCTATTTTATATTGTTTAAAACATTATTTTCACATATTTTATATGGTTGTGTCCTTGGGCTTTTCTGTTTATTAGCTAGGCTATATTGTTAATGAGGACAATAGATTAATATAGGTCTGATATTTAAATTAGTAAATGCATCCAAAAAAAAAAAAAAAAATTAGTAAATGCATTACTCTGATGTTCTGTATTATTTATAAAGTGTTGATTTTAATACATTACTTTTTTTAGATCTACCAGACACATTATTTTTTTTATTTGCACAAAGTATCAGGATCACCGATACCAGCCTGAGTTTTACTCAGTGTCATAATCTGAACAGAAATCAGTGGTATCAGACATCACTATAGAAATCCTTGGATTTTGGTTATTTYCTAATTGCCACACAGCCCAGATCTCCTCCTTTGCGTGTTATTCATTATCTTGCACAAATAGGATTAGAGACAGGAATTAGAATGGTTGAGTGTTGCRGAAGGCGTCTTGATGGTTGGCTGCGGACCTGCCCCATCCCCCTTAACCAAGCCCCTCCAAAGGCACAGAAACACAGTTCACATCCCGTGTACAGATCATAGTTGGCAGAAGCTTTAGCTCTGTACCAGTGCCAGATTGGGGCTAGCTGTGCCGACATGGTGTCCACGCTGCAGAGAAGGATCAGGGCGCAGCTGTTAACAGAGAGGCCTGCAGTGGCTTTTCAGCTGCCATCGAAACTGACCCTGATTTTGCTCTTTCTGTCTGAGTTTGTTCCTGTCTCATGGTGGGTTTCAGTCTCGTCTGTCTTCGTCTTAGCCCCCCTTGTAGCTTCCCTTCGGCCTTACATTTCCTGCCTTGTTCAGACTCTCTCAACATAATGTTGAGCGGGATGACTCTGTGGTTCAGTCTGGGTCGTGTAAGTCTTCAGGAATGCTAAACGTCATCATCTACAGGATATGTCACTCTTCTGTCAACTTAAATTCAGGCGATAAGGAGAAAATTCACTTATGATAGGAAATTGTTCGCCGTTATCAAGACAGATGTTGTTCCAGCTGACCGACACAAGAACCAACTCTACTTTTGCTGCAAGAATGTACTTGTAATGATGTGAAACGCACAAACCATTAACTTTTAGTAGCTGCAGGACATTTGCTGTCTCTATTGAAGAAAATTTTATTGTTTGCAGCAATTTGGTCAATTATTGCCTCAGTTGGTAATCAGAGTTGAATGACTCGGAGACCTTTCAGCTGCCTGATGTGAGCAGCAACAGTCTGCGAGTACAACATGATTCATTTTTTGCACAAAAGAAAAGATTTTAGAGCAATCCTTGATTGTTTTGAGATTACCCCATTGGTTTAAAACAAAGACATGCTCATCATGTGGGAGCATTTAACCAAATCACAACAATCCTCATGGTTGAGAGGGTCAAGTGGGCCACAGTTTTGTCAAATTAGGATAAAAGTGAAGAGGAAAAACTTGATCTTGAAGCCTTTTGACTTTTCAGGCCTGGCTTTTACAGCAATTTTTTTAAATATAATATTGAGTTGTTTAAGATAGTATAAATTTGCTGAATGGGCCCTGCTTGATATTTTTCCCAATACAGACTCCCCATTCTCCAAACTGTTATGAGTCTCACTTTCATTTACTGCAGGTGAGATACTGACTGCTCACAGATAATCTACATAATCTGACCTGAAAAAAAAAATATATATATATATATTTACATTTTTTTGAAACTTATAATTTTTATCTTTCTTTGTTAAATAATACAGAGCAACAAAAGAGCACGTGAAATAAAAGAAAAGACAAGATAAAAGAAAAGAAAAACAAGAAAGTGACGACAACTTATCTTATAACCATCTTATTTAGTTCCTGTAAAGCAGGGCTATTCAACTGGTGGCCTGCAGGCCAACTCTGGCCCGCGAGTGACCAAASTTTGGCCTGCCAATTGGTTCACTCATCTCTTAAGCCCAAGCCCCCAGTTTTCTACATTGATTACTAAGTTGTTTTAGTTCAACATAGACATGTTTGGTATCTACAGAAACGTCAGAATTGTGGCTACAAGCTGGTAAAAACCACTTCAATGAACACCCAAGACAGTTAAAACTACAAGCAGGTGAAGATGAAACTATGAAAATTAAAAATAAAATTGGTTTAAAAATTTGGCAAGTCAGAGACGTCAAAATATTATTTGTGATAAATAAGAGGCATTATGTGTTGTTTTTGTTTTATTATCACTACTTTTATTACATAGGGTTCTGTATGTTATATTCATGATTRGATGCAGCAAAATAACCTATTTCAAAGGTAACAGATTTTTGTAATCCTTGATTTAATTACATAATGACTGTAATTGCTGGATATTCGGCCCCTGAGCTGTTGGCCAGCATTAACTGTGGCGCYYGGAGCAATTTAGTTTTTAAACAATATCCATTTTCTCCACAGTTCTTCAGCTTTCAATTGTTTAGTCTTAGAATATATGTAAATCTCTCCATGTGGTGAATTTCTTCCACTGTGTCCATCCAGTTGTTTAAGGTGAGAGGGTCCACCTTACCCCATTTCTATGTAAGCTTTCTTGGTTGCTGCCAATAAAATTTTGACCAAATATCAGTCTTTAGAGAAACATATTTTTAACGAGCAGTCTGGTTTTGCTGTACAAGAGGTGCAGGTGTACGGAACATTAAAAGTGTAATGAAGCAAATCTGTCATGACAAGTTGTCCCTGGTCTGTAAGTCACTAAACAGAATATTGCAGACTGAGCATGTGTGGGATCCATCTTTGTTTTTTTTCTCTCTGTAAATACTTGACCYTTGTCTGTCAAATACACAGCTCAAACTGAATGAGGCCTAAAGAATGAACCCTCCTTTCACTTTGTCAAACACAGACATGAAAGCCTCCTGCAGACCTGGAAGCAATCACCGCAGAATTCAACACGAAAGCATCACATCAGTTAAACGTTGCATTTGCATCTGGCAGTATTTGCCCATGTTGCTGTCCTGGGTCTGGTTTTCGGATCATGGTGCTGTTTTAAACTGTTTCTTTCCACCAGCACTTCAAGGCTTGCATGCATAGTTGATATATAGGCCATGTGTGAAGCCTGGCAGCACACCAAATAATACAGACAGCTTTATTTTTGTTTGTCAGAGCTGTTTGCCACTAAGAACTTTTTTTTTAAATTTTCATTATATGACAAATTGCTCTCATAGTTTGTTAATTGAAAGTGGGTTTTCCTAAATAACTCTGGTGCTTGGGTTCATTTCTCATTGGTTGCAGCTCGATAAACTAAAATGAACCTTTTGTTTCTACAAGGAGAAACCAAGTTTGAGGTTGTTTGGGGACAGCTACTCTGGCATTTACAAGTTTCAGCTGATAAAACGTGTGTCTCGTGGAAAAAATCAGCATGTGGCCACAATCTGTCCACACATTTGCAAGGATCCAAAAAGAGTTGCTACTAGAGTTAACCAGCCAGATTTTCCAGGGCGAAACTCAGAGCGCAGACATGAAGAACTAGAACTGCCGGTTTTAGTTTGAGTTTGCTCGTGAATTTGTMATTTTTGTTGCGTTTATTTAAGAGGAGTATTTTTGTTTTTATCCCACTGTGCTGTTTAAGAGGATGTACTGCATATCAGCCAAATTAAATCAGGTATTCTAGGCCAACATCTGGAGTTGACTATACTGGCAGGCATGAGATTAGTGTTTGCTTTGCACTTTGCCCTCTTTTCCTCTGTATACGTGTGTCTTTCCTTCTCTGTTGCATGATTTAGGGCAGTTTTAATCCGACATTTCTGCCGTGGTCCAGATGCAGAGTCATTTATTGTATGATGATGTAGTAACCTTTAATAGTAGCCACACTGTTTTCTCGTCGCTGATTTTAAGAGGGTGGAAAACATGTCTTCAAAGCAGTGGTGATGGAATTGGCATTTCTGATCTGAAACCCCATCTTGAGTTTCCAGGAAAGCATAACTCTTTTTAAAACATAAATCTTCTTCCAATGTTCCACCCAGTGTGACTTTGTAGCCATGCAGACACAAATCGAAATTGTTACATAACAGCAGAGAATGGAAATGTTCTCTTTCCTCTGGGCAATGGGAGTGAGTTTCCTTCCCTGTGCACGCCCTTGAGATGCACCCATCGTTCTTTTCCGTTTCCCCTCCCTCCTCCTTTTTTATTTGTATTTTTTTCATTACAATTCTGCCTTACTGCCTTCCAGTTTTTAATGCTTTCTTCCTACATCTGTTGTGAAGCCAGTGCTTACTGTCCTGAGTCAGCCTTATTGTATCAGTGGCCAAACCTTGTTTAGATGAGTTGTCGGCTAGCAACAGCTACTGACTGATTCACCAGAGGGATACTGTGACTCATCTAAACGCTTCTGAAGAGAGCTAACCCAACGTGTCTGAGAGGGCATTCATGCTCGGCAAACACAAGTAATGTGGCGAATTCATTCTCACAATGCTGTGGTGATTTTAGAGGGTTGCAATCAGGGCCGGCCCGTGCCAATTTGGTGCCCTGGGCAACATTTTCAGGTGGTGCCCCTTGTGAAATCATTTAAATCTCGCATACACAATTAAATAGTTTAGTCTTTTTTATATTTTTTAGAACCAGGTTGTCCAATTAAAATAGTTAACAATATGATTAATTGGAAACAGTTTAAAGCTACACAGAAAATGTTACAAAATTTTGAGGGTTAATAAAATCAACATTTTATAAAAGTAGAACACTCAAAACCAGACTTTACCATGAACTTTATCTGAGATCATAAGTGAAACTTTTTTGGTCTTTATTTTGCTTTCTATTTACAYACTGAGCACCAGTAGATGATCTTCACTGCACCATATGATACTTTTATCACAACATAGTATCACCTGTACTATAACACATCATGTAGAAACACTGCAAAAACTGTCCATCTTACCAAGTTTTAAAATCTTATTTCCAGCCAAAAAGTCTTTTTGAGCTTGTTTTGAGACTGATTTACTAAACAAAAACTGATTGTGTAAGAATAATTATCTTGTTTTCAGAATGTGTAAGATTATTTGTCTTGTTAGCCTGAAAAATTGACTCAAAGTCAAACTTTTCTGCAAATGGAGTAAGAAAATTTTACTTGGTAAGATTCCTGAAATACTTTATTTGACTCATTTTTTTTCTTATTACAAGAATCTTAACAAGTAAAATGTTCTTACTCCATTGGCAGAAAATTTTGACTTAATTTGAGTCAAATTTTCAGACTAACAAGACAAATAATCTTACACCTTCTGAAAACAAGAT